TTTCATGTTGTTGTTTTTTTGGTGAATTTAACGTTGGTTGTCTTTTTTCATAATAACATATACTCGTACAGAAGCTTATATAATTTGTTAGATAAGTATAGAGAATATGTAAGAAAAACAATATCAATTATAACTAGATGAGTTTAAAGCAGAAAAGTCGAACAGTTAGAACACTATCATTGATTAATTATAGTTACCCCAGCGTAGCAAAATTAAGGAGCGAACAGGTGTATCAACTTACCTGGCCACCAAGCGGTGAAGGAGAGTTCAAGCTGAGGCTGAACGGTCGTGTTCTGCCAGAGCCAGAAGGCCTCGTCGAATATCTGCTGTCGAACCCCTCCCGTGTGGAATCCTTCGCTGTCTCCTGCCACCGCCGACAAGAGTTCCGACACGAAGTCATTCTCCTCCTGACGTGGTGAGAAAAAAAAATTGTATCACCAGGCTTTGATATGTTCAAGATTCTTGTTGGTTCGTGCATTCTGGTTAATGCCAATTATGTATGAACGGATGACATTGAATATAGTCCACAACACTGATACGAACATTTATGGTTAAAGTAATTATGTAAGAATAGATGACATTATAGTCCGCTACAATGATAAGTAACTGAACGAATTCTGATACTAATAGATGACATAGTCCTCAACAATGATAACAGTGAATTCTGATACTAATAGCGCGTTGCTTTCTTTGCTTATTGCTTGGTTGTTCTATTCCTTTCCAAGCAATCATCAGAAGTTCCTTTTTTGTGGTCTGGTTCAAGAAACGTTCACAAGAAACGTTCACTAACCTTGGAAGTAATAGAGAGAAGCCTGGCGCCTCGGGTGGAGCATCTCATCCTGGCTTCGGCGTGAGTAAAAAGGGAAGACTTGTGCACGTAATAGCACTTGGTACCCCATCGGACTCCTCGCGGGCCGCACTCGGACACCCAGTTCCTGTAACATCTGACTCCTGCAGGAAGCGAGTTATTAGGTTAGGATTCCGTCAGCTTGCGTTCGTTCCTCGTTTTCTGTGACTTTTTAGTATTTTTGTGTCTTAAATATTTTCGTCTCGGCAAATAGGGAAGAATTTAATTCAACTTGTGGAATTCAATTATTCTTACCCTTAGTTACATTTCTTTACGTTTTACAGAGTAAGAAGTAAACAAATCTATCTTCAGCAAATAGTCACTTTTTCGTAAAATGTATTTTTTATCTCATTACATTTTTGAAGGAAATAGATTTAATTACATCTAGTCATATCTATTAGCTGTAGTTAGGCAAACCTATTAGCTGTAGACAGTCACTTTTTCTTCAAATCTGTATCTTTCTATCTCACTATTTTTTTTTTAAGGAAATAGGTATAATTACATATATCTATAGACATATATAATAGACAGATCTATTAGCTGATAGTCACTTTTTCTTCAAATCTGTATCTTTTTATCACACTACATTTTTAAGTAAATACATCTAATTACATCTAGACAGATCTCTCAGCTGTAGTTATTCTTATCTAATTACATTTAGACAGATCTATTAGTTTTAGTTCGTGTCTAATTACATTTAGTCAGATCTATTAGTTCTAGTTCTTATCTAATTACATTTAGACAGATCTATTAGTTTTGGTTCTTATCTAATTACATTCAGACAGATCTATCTGCTGCAGTTCTTGTTATCGAATTACATTTAGACAGATCTATTAGTTCTAGTTCTTCTTATCTAATAACATTTAGACAGATCTCTCAGCTGCAGTTATTCTCACCCACGACTTTTTTGTTTACGTCCTCGGGTACTCCTCTCTCCAGCGAGCATTCCCCCAGGCTCTCCTCGTCGCCCTGGCACTCCACTCGCTTCAGCCTCACGTCGTTCCCTGGGAGCACGCCGAAAGTCCGTCCCTTCGTTGCTGCCGCTGCTCCTCTGGGGGAAGAAGGGAGAGGGGGGTTGAGATGAGAAGGTGTGAATCTGGCTTTCTTTTTCTTTTTCTTTTTCGTTCTTTTTTTTTCTTGTTTCTTTCTTTTTTTCTCTATTTTTCTTTTTTCTTATTTTCTTGATTCTTTTTTTTCTTTCTTTCTTTTCTATCTCTTTCTTTCTTTTTTCTTTCTTCCTCTTTCTCTTTCTCTTTCTTTTTCTGCCTGTCTACCTGCCTGTTTATCTCTATCTATCTATCTATCTATCTATTTACTTATCTATTTATTCATTCATATACTTTTATTTATTCATTTATTTACTTATCTATTTACTTATTTACTTATCTATCTATCTATCTATCTATTTACTTATCTATTTATTCATTTATCTACTTATCTATTTACTTATCTATGTGCTAATCTATATCTATCTATCTATCTATTTACTTATCTATTTATTCATCTATTTACTTATCTATTTATTTGCTTATCTATCTATCTATCTATCTATATACTTATCTATTTATTCATCTACTTACCTATCTATTTATTCATTTATTTACATATCTATTTATCTATTTATTTGCTTACCTATCTATCTATCTATCTATATACTTATCTATTTATTCATCTACTTACCTATCTATTTATTCATTTATTTACATATCTATTTATCTATTTATTTGCTTATCTATCTATCTATCTACCTGCCTAATTATCAATAAACCTTACCTGGTAAACCCAAGACTCCGGCAAACAACGCTGGCATCGCTGAGCGTCCACCGCGAGTCCGTGACGAGCCACCACTGGCCTTCAGCTTCGATCTGCAGGTTAGATAAGCGTCGGGAAATGTAATTAATAGGTTACTTTCAAAACCCGCTGTCGTGTATTGTAATAAAAGGTTTAAAAAATATATTTATGCTACTTTATATGATATGTTTGTCAGAGAGGGACAAATGACCTCTGTTATTACGACGAATTCGTATCGTCATAAAAGGTTTGAATTAATATTTTTATTATTTTATATGATGGTTTGTGAGAGAAAGAGCGACAAATGAACTCAATTATCACGACGATTTCGAAAACCGAGATCGACAGATAAACAAATTCATCAACACGACGTAAGTTTTGTTTTGCTTGACACATAATAAACTCATTCATACGATAAATTCGAAACAGAAAATAAACAATCAAAAAAACAAACAAATCAACATGACCCCAAGTCTTGCTCCACCATCGCTGAAGGTCAGAGGTCAAAGGTCAGAATTTCACCTGAACATATCCTGAGGAGGTCGGCCAGTCTGACCTTCTGACCTGAGGGAGGCGCACCACGTACGACACGCTCTCGGCGCCTGTGGCAGAGGAGTGCATTTCACTGATAGATAGGGTGGATGATAGATAGATGGCGAGAATGGTAGCTTGAGAGGCAGAGAGGTGGGAAGAATGATGGATAGAGAGATAGATGGTAGATAGATAGATAGATAGATAGAGATGGGTAGGTAGATAGATAGATAAATAATTAAATACATTGAATGATACACAGATAGACATACAGACAGATAGATAGATAGATATAGGTAGGTAGATAGATAAATAAATAGATAGATAGACTGACAGATAGATAGATAGATAGACAGCCAGACAGATAGATAGACAACTAAACATTTAGATAGGTAGAGACAGACAGACATACAGACAGATAAACAGATAGATGGATAGATCAACAGACATAAAAAACATTGTTTGACACCTTTGAAATAAAAAATATATAAACGTAAACAGATAGATGGATAGATAAACAGACAAAAAAATTGTTTGACACCTTTGAAATAAAAAAAAAAATATATAAACGATAAACAGATAGATGGATAGATAAACAGACAAAAAAATTGTTTGACACCTTTGAAATAAAAAAAAATATATAAACGATAAACAGATAGATGGATAGATAACAGACAGAAAAAAAATCATTTGACACCTTTGCAAAAAATATATAAACTTCCATCTCTATGAAATATCAATACAGTGAAATGGCGTCAGTCTTCCACCGAACGAAACCCAAAAATTTGTCGCACGTACTTGGGGCCACTCGGCTGCGTGGACACACCGTCTGGTGAGGATGGTCGCACACTCTCTTGGCCGCGTTGAAGAGAGTTCCTGGTGCGCACCGCTGGAGGCTGGGACGTCCGCGCCAGCAGTTAACGAACTTGGAACAGTCCTGGAACGGCGTTTTATGACATTTTACATCGGTGGTCTAGATGGGTTTGAAATAAAAGGTTGTAATCTGGTGGAAATTTGTTTGGTAATGGGAGAGGAAATTCAAGTGTGGTAACGTTGTTTTGGTAAGATTAACATTGTCGATGATATTGTTTGGTAGTTTGTTAATTTTAAGGAATATAGAGATATTCTGATTAATTTATGTATTACTAAAATCATTAGGTCTGATACGTTCCCGCGAAATAATGAGAAATATTTTAGTTACCCATACAATATTTCATTTTCTATTATATTAACCAACACTTCATTTTCTATTATATAATATGGATAACTATTTTAAATAATCATCACTCGATTCCCTACAATATAATTCAAAGATACTCCTACGACCCTCAGATTCTTTAAAACAAATATAACATTAATCATACCGTGAACAATAAACAATATAAAAGTGACCATGAATAAATATTTACTCGCCTTGGGGTATGGATAAACACCATCTGGACCGAGACACAGCGTCTTGGAATCACTAATACCTAGTTTGTTCAGGAGACGTTTTCCTTTGTCCTTCGTCCGTTGGTACGTCCAGTCTACCTGTAAGAGGAGACAAAGCATGTAATGATAATGGAGGAGAGGAAATGAGTGGTAAAGGAGAGGATAATGGACGTAATGGAGGATGTAATATGGTCAGCAGGTATAATAGATGTAAAAGTGGGTAAATGGATGTAATATATGCCATAATAGATGGTAAACAGGCGTAAGAAATGAAGGAGTTATGATATAAGAAGACAGCATATCGATGATGCAAGGAGAATGGAATAAATGGCCAATGCCGTAACAATAGATAATTAGAATGAATAATAAAATAATGATAATCATACTATTAAAGATAATA